CCAGAGGGAGACACGTGACTAATCCAACAAGCCTGATCACGTCTGCAAAGTCTATAGGAAAAATGCAACGGTCCATCAGTAGTTTCCATGCTGCATTTCATCTCGATTACTCCTCATAGTACCCTCGTGAAGCCACCATGAACGATACTATTATCTGCACTTTACCAATGAGGAAACCGAGGTTCAAGGGTGTTAAATAACTTGTTCAAACTGTCTACAAAAAAAAAAAAAGAAAAAATTATCAGTTATTAATTCTGAGGCAGAGGATTGGAAAGAAGAGAACTTTTCACTTTCCATTACTATATTGTTTGGACTTTTATGATCATTTATTACTTTGATAATTTTTAAAAGTAAATAATGTTTACTTTTCTAAAAAAAAGTACAGTCACACAACTAATAAGTGGCAAAAGCAGGACAGGAGTCCAGATTTCCTGATATCCTAAAAGAAGTCACTTTTCACCACTTCTGCCTTATATGTGATATGTGAGTGTCACAGAAACAAACACAGACCTAAGAATCTGTAAGAGCTAAGAACAAGTTGCAGATCTACCACTAACTGTGTGTCCATAGGAAATCTACGCAACCTCCCTGAGGCTAGTTTTTCCTTCTATTAAACAGGGGCAATGATCCGAACCCCAGAGGGTTATGGTGAAGGTTAAATGTGTACCTGGAACTTCATGTTGGTTATCTTAGCCTTGATTATCTTGCAGGCTGAAGACCGTACACAGATCACGAGGTGGATAATAGATGGCAATTTTCTAGAGAATAAAATTTGCAAATATTATAAATGCCACAGCAGATCAAAGGTACATGAAATCGGCTTTATTCTTCATAAAATATAAACCAAAGTCAGACCCATTTTGCAAAAGCATAAATTGCAAAGCTTTCTCTAAAAAAAAATCGCATAAGCTGAACTCATAGATACAGAGCACAGAGAGGTGGTTGCTTGAGGCGGGGGAAGGAAGTGGGCAAAATGGGCAAAGGGGGTCAGAAGGAGCAAACTTCCAGTTATAAAACAAATAAGTTATTGGATGTGATGCACAGCAGGGTGACTACAGTTATTAATACTGTACTGCATATTTGAAAATTGTTAACAGAGTAGATCTTAAAAGGTCTCATCACAAGAAAAAAATTTAGAAACTATGTATGGTGACAGATGTCAAGGAGACTTACTGTGGTGATTATTTGGCAATATATACAATGATCGAATCATTATATAATGTTATAAGAAACTTATATCATGTCATATGTCATTTATGCCTCAATGAAAAAAATCACAAAAGGCTGTCTCCTAGGAGAGGTCTGACAGGAGTCACCATCAATCAACAGTCAAAGAATCAGAGCAGCAGGTCCTAAACCTTAGGAGCTTGTTAAAAATGTTTCTAGATTACCTTCCTGATAGTCAACAGACCTTGAGTGGGGCTCAGGCATCTAAGTTGTTTCAACACACCCCTGTGATTCTGATGAGAGGGTCTGGGCCCCTCCACGGAACTGTGCTGATGTGTCAGGACCCTGGACAGCGTCAACCCAAGGCTCTGCCTAATGGGGGGTGGGGGCGGACGGGGCGGGCATGCCAGCCCCTTACCTTATTATTCTCCACCTCCTATCTCAGCACCTACCTCAAGGTCACATCTGTTGATTGTCCAGGGCACCACGCGTGAAACAGCCAGGGACACAGAGCAGAGAGGAAGCAATGTGCTCTTCAAACCCAGGTTTTTCTTCTTTCCACAGGCTGGGCTGCTGGAAGCTGCTGATCTGGTCCTACCTGCAGTTAGCGGTGTCAGGGACCTGCACTGCCTTCACACCCAACTTCCCATCCTACCGTGCTTGCTGCTCCCTCTCAAGCATGGCTATTAGTCACCTCAACGGCAACTCCCTGACACTGAGTGAGAGGAGCCCCGGAAGGGCCAGGCTCATGGGGACTCCCAAATCACAAGAGTTCAGTGGACGAGGGGATCTGACAAATTCAGACCTCAGCTCCTTCGCTGAGTACAAAGCTGAGTCCACCTGTCCCAGCATCCCTACCTATCAGGGCCTCTCCTGGGGTAGGCAATTAAGATCCCTACCTATCAGGGCCTCTCCTCGGGTAGAAATTAAGATCATGGCCTCTTTGGTGGCTCTGATCATTTGGGACTGGAATACATGCCAGATATTTGGGAATCACTAAAAAAAATAAATGGAGCAAAGACTTGATAGAGATTGGCTGGAGTTGCACAGAAAGGCCAATTAAACTACGAGCCTTTAATCTAACATTCATTTATTCAACACAAAAGGCACCCGATGTGTATCAGATCCTGCACTGGGAATACAGAAGTGAACAAGTGGACAGTACTCATGAACTCAAAGAACTCAAAGTCTAGCAGGGAAGACTGCCAAGGCGTTACAAATTAATGTGCTAAAGGCTGGGATGAGAGCCATTCTGGGTGATGTGGAAGTTCAGAAGTGGGGTGTTCAATTAGGACTTGGAGACCCAGGAAATCTCCCCCAAAGGAAGTGACATCTAAGCTCAGAACTGAAGGATGAACGAGGCAGAAAGAGAGAGGGAGTAAAGTTCTGGGATAGGGTTCTAGACAAAAATAATAGAATGAACAAGGCCCAAAGGCCAGAAAGTATGACTCACGGGAAGAAATGAAAGCGGTTACAGAATGGTGTGAGGCCAGGACTCATTCATTTCTATTCCCAAGCCAAGCAAAGGGCGTGGCACGGAGTCGGCAACCCTAAATGTTTGTCGAATTAAAATTAGTCGAAGGAAAAGCAGGCAGAATGTCTGGAGGCAGGTCAGAGGAGATTTGAGGGAAGCCAGGAAATATGCATTTGGGGTTGGGGACTCTGAAAGAGGAGCATGCCTGGGAATTCAGAACCTTCCAGCCTGTTTCTTGCTCCGCACACGCGGTGAACCTAGCTGGTGGTCAAACCACCCTTGCCGTATCCTCTGAGGGGCCTGGAGGTGCAGAGCAGGACTGAGCTCGAGAGAGGAGCCTTTCTGGTCTGGTGTGAGAATCCTCGTCCATCTGGAAGTGACTGCCACCCCCATGTACACACATACTCACACCCCCCTGACTGACTGAGCTCATCTCTTCTCTCCAGGCATGGAGTGGCTGCTCATCCATTCCCGGCCATGTCTGGGCCTCTTTTGGATTAATCTTCAGCGTTGGCCAGTTATTCCTGGCTGGCACGGCTTTTCCTGTGCCCCACTGGCGCCACCTGCAGCTGTTGGTCTCTCTGCCCTTCTTTGTCTTCATCTCCTCCAGGTGCGTGGGGCCTAAGGGTAGGGTAGAGGGTTCGCAATAAATCACAGGTGAGCAGAGCATCTCCTAGAACATCCCTTGCCTTCCCTCCAAGGATCAAAGCAGGGCAAAGAAAAAAGAATCAATGCCCAGTTAGATAGATGGGGGAACATCGCGGCCCAGAAAGGGGCAGAATTTGTCCCAGGTCTCCCAAGAAGGCTGGCAATTCTCAGAGTACAACCCAGGGTCTTAACTCTCAGCCTAGAATTCTCCCCGACCCTCCGAGGTAACTTCCTGCTCTAGTCCGTGCCCTTCTCAGGCAGCCACAACTCTATCAATCCAGGCTGAAGTCATCCCCACCCCCACCTCCCACCCACAGGTTCTTTGCTGAGTCTGCCCTCTGGTACCTCTCTTCGAGGAGGCTGGACTTCACCCTAAAGGCCCTCCAGAGAGTGGCCCAGATCAATGGGAAGCAGGAAGAGGGAGCCAAGCTGAGTATGGAGGTGAGAACCCCGGAATCTTGTGCGACACCCCACCAGTGCTCTGCCTGCCCCCACCCTCACCCCTGAAAGCTGTGCTTCCCAGGACAGGGTTGGGAGGAGGGGTCCCTAGGAAAGCCCAGGCCCTGAGCCCCATCTATTCGAGCAGTTGCTCCAGATGAGTCTGCAGAAGAACCTGACCGTGGGCCTGGCCCGGGCTTCAATGTTACAGATGCTGCGCTTCCCTGCTGTTCACCGCCTCTTCCTGTGCCTCATGCCACTGTGGTAGGTCCATCCTCACTCAGGCATGACACAGACAAACTGGTGGACGGATAAGCAGACTGAGAAAACAGGACAGGCTGAGGTGAGAGGCTGAGGGAGGCCCCACAGCAAGCGGCAAAGAGCACAGGCACTCTGGAGGCTCAAGGGGTCCCCACCTCTCTAGGGAAAGCTCAGCTGTCCCTCAAAGTGCCATCTTTCTTGCCCTCCCAAGAGCTCTGAGCTCAGCCAAGTGGCCCAGCTGACTCTGGGGGAGTAAAAAACAGTTACCCCCAGGAGCCCTGAGCTTCTGGCCCTAAGAGCTCTATATATGTGTCATAGGCACTCACATTCCCCCAAAGATGTCTGTATTCTTCTCTTACCATACAACCAATTACCACATATTTAGCACTTATTATCTCACAGTTTCTGTTGGTCAGAAGTTTGGGCAGAGCTCGCCTGAGTCTTCCACTTAGAGCCTCGCAACCCTGAAACCGATGTCAGACATTTGAAGCCTTGCCTTGAGAAGAATCCATTTCTAAGTTCACCCAGGCTGTTGCCTGAACTCCTAGGACAAAGGGCTATGGGTTCTTGTTGGTTGTTGGCTGGAGGTTGTCCTCTGCTTCCGGAGACTGCCCTCAGCGCCTCACATGCCCCCACCCCCAGCATGGCTGCTTCCTTCATCATGCCAGCACAGAGAGTGTCTAGAGTGAGTCTGCTAGCAGGGACCATCCTAGAGCCAGTATGCCACAATGTCTTCCCAAATGTTGTGTGATGTGTCCCTGGCAATGGAGTCATTTGCAGCTGATAAAGGTACAGCCATGGTCTCATTGATTTGCATATTTCCATAATACCTCTGAAGGAAAACTTAATGGTAATCCATATTTACAAAGTAATGAGGCAGTAAGGATAAGCAAACAAAAATTTTGTTTTATAATTTCCTAATTCTGTATTTCAGAAATTATCACTATTAACATACTGGTATATGATCATCCAGACTTTTCCTGTTTTCACGTATATGAAACACACAAACACACAGTAATTTATGTCACATGTAGTGACAAAAATGCAGTCATACTCTTCCTGCAGTTCTAGGATATTTTTGTCCTTACTGTATCATAAACATCTTTCTATATCAATAAATGTAGACCTACAGAGCTCACCCTGTATTCTTGTAATTCCCCCCTCCGAATGGGCTCCATTCTCTTTGGAATGAGCAGCAAGGGGCAGCAGGTTGTCACAGTGACTCGCAACTCACGCCACCTTCTGAAAGGCATCAGAAAAATGAGGCTCCACCCTGTTTCCAATCCAAGTTATCTTCATGCAACGGTACTGAGAGATATGAGAGGCAGAGCAATTCACAGGCATGTAGTTTGTTTGTGCTGCTGACTCCCACGGCAGCAGCAAAAATAACAGGCAGACACTAGAAGTTCTGGGGCACACAGGTTAAGTTTATTCCTTTCATCCACCCCTCAAGCCCTCCACTATACTATTTGATTCCTGTCCTCCACACAAAGACCTCCCAAACTCCACCTCTTTCTCATCCCTTCTCCCTTCTCTTCCAGACACACACACTCACGCACACATTAAGAAGCACTGTCTCTTCCTCTTTACCATTTACTGTCTCCAAGCATCTTGCTCCCCAGGTTTTTCTGCCTGATGTTAACGGAGGTGGTTATGTTTATCCAATTGTACTGACTGAATGTCTTCTCTTTCTAACAACAAAATGCCCTACACAAAATATTGCCAAACAGGAAAGACCACACATAGAATCTCTTATGAACATTTACTGTATAGATTACCTTTCTTGGCAGTTTCTCCCTATGTTATTATAATAAATTTTCCCCCACTGCCATCAGAATTCCATTTTTAAAGATGACATAGCAGTCCATAATTTTGTCATTTATTTTTACCATTATCCGTGGTGGACACATAGGTTCTTTCCAGCTCTTCCTAATTATAAGCAAGGCTGTCACAATTATCCATAAGCATGTATCCCTTTGCATCTGTCTTACACCCCTTGGGATTAACCTTAAAAGTGTGTTTCCTGGGCCAAAGGTATGAAAAAGTGTGTTTCCTGGGCCAAAGGCTTTTCACAGATATTGCCAACTGTCTTCTGAAAAGACCATGTACGTAAAGCAGCCCTTAAATGCCGAAGGAGCCAAGAGGCCAGAGAACACGCAGGCAAGTCCAGCTTATCCATATAGAGCATTTAAACAGGGAACTTATTCCAGAGACGCAGTCCTGGGAGGCAACAGGACAAAAATGGATCCCCACACCGTTCACGCCCATACTTCCAGTTTTATATCTCTGTAAGAAATGGACCTAGGACTCGAAAAGGAATGCAGGGGCAGTCGGCAGGGGGTGCACAAAGGGCCAGGTCCCAGGGGCTCTGGCACCAGGGCAAGTTAAAAAATAGCTAACACAGAGGGCACCTTACCCCAGAGTTTGCAATTAAGCCTCAGCCTCTGCACATTCCAGAGTCCACTCAGGGGAAAGAGGAAAGGTTTCAAAGGGGTTTTAGTTTTGAAATGGAGTCGGCTTTATCTGCACACCAACCTACTCTTCAGTAAAGCAGTATTTTACAAAAGCGTTTCAGATACCCTCATCGACACTGAGTACTATCACTCTGAGAAGCAGAAATTAGAATCTTGTTTTTCAGTTCACATTTATTTGATTCTGGAGGAAGTTGAACATGTTCTTCATGCGATTTTGATCTATTCACAATTTTTTTTGTAAACTCTCTATTCATATCCCTTTCCCATTTTTTCCTTTTTATTGACCCTCTTTTACATTAAAGCTACTTATTACCGGATACAATCAATACTCTTTGCATTTTAAAATGTCTTTTAAGTTTATCATTCTTTAAAAATAGAGAACTTTTATTGCTTTGTATAAACCCATCTACCCATTTTTTTTTAATTCAGATTACATTTAGGTTACTCTCTTCCTGACCATAAAACTATTCACCTAGATTTTCTTGAAGCATGTTTATATTTGTTTAGGCTTTTACATTTTATGATAATCCACCTGAAATTCAGTTGAACATAAGGTAGAAAGTCGGATTCTATTTTTTTTCTAGATTAGTTAATTATACCAAAGCCATGAAATGAATGGTCAGTCCTTCCTCCGCCGGTTGCTATGAGACACCATCATTATCACATACTGTTTCTGGACAATTTGGTCTCAGCGACTTATCTATCTATTCTGGTGCCAATACTATTTTGTTTAATTCTTAATTCTAGTGTGGCTCATGTATGATTGTCTTCTGTGGACAGCTTCTCACGGTGCCCTTCACCAACCTTGAGGCAAAATTCAGCACTTTATCAACCTCTCTAAGGAACAAGACTGCCCCACAAAGTGCCACTAAACACTGTGAATTTTATGAAAACTCAATAGGGAGATGGAAGAGATGCTCGTATCACATACCACACGGTCAAAAAACTTAAAGGCATTTCTGTTCTCTCTCAGACCCATCATCGGCTAAAGCCATTCATTCTTCCCCTCTCTTTCTCCTGACCCTCCCTCCACATACCATCTAAAATCTCCTCCTAAGAATTCATCTCCGGCTGTAAATTTGTATACATCACACAGCAAAGCAAAACTCCTGCCATTGAATAAATCTCCTTTTCTCAGAATTCATCAGTTGTCACTTGAGCATCCCTAGAAAGTGAGGTCTCTCACAAACACTCTTTTTTAGTGTAATCAACTGATCAAAGCATGCACTTATCAAAAGCTGAACTCTTCCAGCAGGGAATCGGTGGTGAGGGGACAGACCTATTGCAAAGTAAAAGAATATTATTTTCTCCTAGATGATTTTAAAATATAGTCTAATATATGATAGATAACATTGCCTTTTAGAATTAAGGGAAGACTTTCTTATCTATATTCAAAAGAGAAAAAAAAAAAAACTCACCGGGCTGATGTAAGAATAGATAGGAGAGAAATTTGCCAGCTGCACCTGCTAGACAGATGTAGCATGGCTATTACTCAAAGCATACCCCCTCTGCTTCTGCCCTAGGTCCGCACTCTTGTTCAGCTTCTATGGTTTAGTCATGAGTCTGTAAAGTTTCGGAATCGACATCTACCTGATGCAGGTGCTCTTCACCATCGTAGACCCCTTATTTTATTTCCCAGGCTTTCTGCTCATCAGATCACTGGGCCGCAGGCTCACCCAGATGGCCTCCTTGCTGCTCTCAGGAATCTGCATTCTGGCCTGTACAATGGTACCCTTGGGTGAGCACATGCCCTGTCCTGGTCCTTTCCCAGATCCAGACCCTGACCCGGCTCAAGCCAGCTACCTAGAAGGGTAGGAAAGATCCGAGGCTCCTCCCAGTCTTTCCTAAGATCCTGTCACCACCTTCCTTTCCTTCCAGACCAATCATTCCTTCACATCACGATGGCCATGTTAGGAAAAGGCTGCCTGACTAGCTCTTTGAATTTCATCCTTCCATATACAGGGGAGCTATATCCCACAGTAATGCGGTGAGTGGGGTATAGGGGAGGGGTTCTGGGATGGGACAATCGGGCCCTAGAACCAGAATCTTTCCAGTCATAAATGGCACAAAGGTCAATCAGTTATTCTGCAAGGCAAGAAAAGAGGACAAAAACATACAGAAATTAGGACAAATTAAAAACAAAAGGTCAGGTGGTAGCAACAACTCCAAATATATCAGTCACCACAATAAGTGTACATGGATTAACTTACCGGTTAAAAGGCAGAGATATTCCAAGGTGAGTTTTTCAATCTAGTTTATACAGTTTATAAAAGACCCGCCTAAAATGTCAGCACATGGAAATGGTAAATTAAAAAAGGTATATCGGGCAAATATTACCCAGAAGAAAGTTAGATAGATATACTAACGGAAGTCAAAATACACTTTAAGACCAAAAAAAGTAATTTTTAAGAATATGGCTCTGGTATATAAGGTAACTGGTCCAAATGAAAAACACAGATAAAAACAAAAATAGTACCAGAAATAAAGTAAATAGAAACAAAGATATAAAAGAGAGCTTCATTGAAACAAAAAGTTGATCTTTGAAAAATCAGTGAAATGAACAAATCCCTGGTAACAATAATCGAAAGATAAATAAATGACCAAAGATATGAATATTAGAAATAAAAATGAAACCAAACTACAGATCTAGAGTAACTATAAACAATGTAAAAAAAAAAATCAATGAACAAATCTAAGCTGATAAATTTAAAATTTATATACAATTGACAAATTTCTTAAAAAGATAATATAGGAAAATTAATTCTAGAATGAATTAAAAGTCTGAATAGTAAACTTCAAAATATTGCCTCAAAGAAAACACCAGGCCCAGATAATAATACAAGTGAGTTCTGCCACACTTCTAAGAAACAAATCTTCCAATATTATATAAACGCTTCCCCAAAAAAAAGAAAAAGAGGGAGCAATCTCAAATTAATTCTATGAGGACAGCTGATACTGAAACCAAACTGTGAATTAAGGATTACAGGCCAATATCACTCATAAAAAGATACAAAAATCCTAAACAAAATATTAGAAAAATGAATCCAGTGATGTTTAAAAAGGATAATGCATTATGACCAAGGAGAGTTAATCTCAGGAAAACAAAGGTGGTTTAACATTAGGAAATATATTAATATCACCACATTAATAGATTATTATCCCACTAAAAGCAGAAAAATCTTTAATAAAAATTAACACCCATTAAAAATAGTCTTAGTAAAACAGTAATAGAAGGAATTTTAACTTGATATGGAACATCTACCAAAAATCCAAAGCAAATATTATTCTAAATGGTGAAACATTAGAAGCATTCCCTTTAAACTTGGAAACAAGATGAACATGCCTGCTGTCTCCTATTCTACATTATCCAAGAGAATGTGGCCCATGCCCAGGATAAGAATAACAAATAACAGAACAGGACCAGAAAGGAAAAATCAAAACCATCACTATTTACAGAGAATATAATTGTCTACATAAAAATTTTAAACCATAGAAATAATAAAGTTTGCAAGGTGGCTGGATACAAGGTCGATAAATCAAAATTAATTGCATTTTCTACTCTGATAAAAAAAATAGTTAAAAAGTTTAAATTTTAAAAAATTCCTATATAAAGAAAAATTTTAATTGTATTGAAAGGTATTAAAGAGAACTGAAATGTGCTATGTACATAAATAAGAAATCTCATAATATATCAACTCGTAATGGACATAATTGACATAAATGTCAATGATTCCAAAATTGACTTATAAAATCAATGCAAGACTCATCAAAATCACAATGGATTTTTTTTTAACTGGCAAAAAATCGTTAAATGTGTATAAAAGTGTTATGGGCCAAGTATAACTAAGGTACTTTTTTTAAAAGAACAAGGTGGAAGGATTCGCCCTACCAGAATTGAGCACATATTATAAACTCATATAATAGAATTGTAGTAATTAAGACAGTGGATGATGGAGCGGGAAAAAACAAATTGGCCAGTGGAAAAGTAGCAAGCCCAGAAACTGACCCACGCATAGGAGAAAAACCGCAGAGGAAGCAGACGGCTGGATAAAACATGGACTAGTCAATAAATAGTACGAGGACATCTACTCACTCATATGAGAAATAAATAAAATGCAATCCATATTGCAACCTTAAACGAAAATTAATTTCTGCTGCGGTAGGAAGGATTCCTTAAGACATAAAAAGTGTTAGCCAAAAAAGAACTACCAATAAATTTTTCTACTTTGATTTTTTTAGAATTTTGTCCATCTGTTACACTATAAAAAAGGTGAAAGGAGTGTTTATAAACCACTTCCGGAAGTCGATTAGAAATAAAAGGACTTCTATTTCCATTAAAATAACAAAATAACACTGAAAATAACCCCCCAAAAAGTATTAAGTATTTTTAAATATTCTTAAAAACATCAAAGAGCTGGAATAAGAGTAAGGGAAAATGAGGCCAATTGTCTAAAGGAAACCAGGGACCCAGACAGGTAAGCAGAGCACCTGAGCATCAAAACAAACTCTGTACCTAGTGGGGAAAGTAATGTGTGTTCTCTTTGACTTTAGAGTCAATTGTTTAACACGGTAGCAGGAGTCCTGGCCACTATCGCTCTACAAGAAAAGAAAAAGAAATAAGAAATTTAAAAGAGAGATGTTTAAAATGTCATTCTTTGGAGAGATTATTATCACCTACCTAGAAAAACCAATAAAATCAATAAACAATTAAAATTAATAAGAGAGTTCATCAAGGATTATGGATACAAAATCAAATTACCAAAATATCAATAGCAATAACCTAGAAGCTGTAACCTAGAAGCAACGATCTAGAGAAATAATCAAGAAAATCTTTGGATATTAAGATACTATTCAAAATAACACCAAAAGCTAGATCCTATTAAGGAATTAACTAACATAGGACACCCAAGACTTCCATGAAGAAAATTTCTGAAACTCTTTTAAGATCACGAAGATTATCTTAGTAAATGGACATTCCACACTCTCGTTCAGAATGATGTATTATAAAGATGTCCATCCTCCCTAAGTTAATAGAAATTTATAGAAATTCGATGAGATCTAATCAGAATTTCAGTTAGATTATTGTTTAAAAACTGCAAAAACTTACTCTAAAATTTATATGGAAGAAAAAAAGATCACAATTGCTAAGCCAATTTCGAAGCAGAAAAGCAAAGAGAAAAGGCTCACTCTACCATTTGTTAAGACCTACAACAAAGCCATGGTATGTCTATGGCTTTGTTGGCACAAGAAGAAACAAACAGAATGCAAGAGAGCCTTGAAGTCAGAGAGAGAGGAGACAGACAGACAGACAGACAGACAGAGACAGAGACAGAGAGGCAGAGAGAGAGAAAGCAACTACATCAATTCGACTATACCAAAAAGGACTTCTGCTTATTTAAGGACACAATGGACAAATTTAAAAGACAGATAACGGATTGGGTGGGGGGAGATATTTGCAACATTTAACACTGACAATTGATTGACTTGTCAGTGATGGGTAATAGTGATAAAGAGGAAGAAACGATTAAGGGGGGGAAGGAGGGCATTGCAAGAAAAATAAGAGAGGGTCATGAACTGAGGATTATCATACTCAACCCTCTGCCCCTGAGGTTAAAAAAATAGTGAAGGAGATAGTAACTGAGTAGCTACTTCAGACAGGATGTTCAGAGTCATCAGGGAGGTCTCCTCGGTAAGAATCAAAGATAGACGTTAAGTCCAAAAGCCCAAACGAGAAAACAAATGGACGAGGCACAAGATAAGAACTGAGGTAGGCAGGGAGGACCGATCATGTAGGGATTTACAAGGAGGTCGGATTGTATTCTAGTACAATTACTAGAGACATTACTCAATGGTTTTAAGCAGAGTGCGAAATGATCTGAGTTACGGTTTTAAAAGAGCACTTTGGCTTCCTCGTACAGAACAAGCTGGGGATAGAGGGCCAGGGTCAACAATAGAAATGGGAAGACCAGTCAAGAGCTACTAATGGTCCCAAAGTGCTGCAGTATGAGTACCACGGTACTGCAGTATTAGTACCGCAATACTGCAATAGCAAGAAATGAAAATGGCGTGGCGTGAAATGGTGCTCAGTGGTTGTGAAGATGGGGTAAAGGGTACTGACTCTAAATGTGTTTTGGAAGGAAGAGCCATCCAAATTCGTATTTTGGATGTGAGAAAATAAGGGAACAGGAGGCATCAAGGATAATTACCAGATACTTGAACTTGAGCAACTGGGTGGTTAGAAGTGCCCTGTACTGGGATAGGGAAATCTGGGGGAGGAGCAGACTTGGAAGTAGAAATGAAGAGTTCTTCACCCACATAAAATTTGACCTTTTAGACACCCAAATGAAGATGTTAAGTAGGAAGTTGGATATAGATAGTCTGGGGCTCAGGGGAGAGGTTGGTTGGGGACTTATTCACAGTCACACAGCAGGTTCAAAAGGGACTAGAACTCAGGTTTCCTGGTTCCAAAACTATTTGCTTCTGTGTCCTTTTTAGCTAAGATAAGTGCAAGCATTTGGCACTGTAGGGAGTGTGCAAAGAGGCAGCACCGGTGGCAGGCAGTTAGGGCACCTGCAGGCCCCACTGGCCTCACCAAGGTTCTTCTCCTCCCCACAGGCAGAGGGGTGTGAGCCTGACAGCAACCGTGGCCCACACAGGCAGTATGATAACCCCGCTGGTGGGCCTAGCCACTGAGTTCTCCCCGTCCCTGCCTCTCTTCATCTATGGAGCAGAGCCTGTGGCTGCCCGCACCTTCACTGTCTTCCTGCCAGAGACCCTGGGCCAGCCACTGCCCAATTCAGGACCTGGAGAGAAGGTGGGCTGCACCCTCCCATGCCCTCCCCACCCTCAGGGCAATAAACAGTACACAGCTCCTTGATCCAGCCCCATCTGAAAAAAAAGGCCAAACCCAGGAGAGAGCAGAGACTTACCTAACTAAGGTCATTCAGCGGGACTCTGGCAAAGCCAAGGCCTGAATCCAGGACTCTGGTCTCTTGAGTCTCCTGGGTCCTGTTCTCACAGAAAGGCTGTGGAATCCCTTCTGGGACCCTCGGCTCTTGAAAACAATGAGAACTTTGGACATAAACTGACACAGCTGAGCACAGACACCTAAAAAGAATCCCCAACTCTACTCTCAAACCCTGCTTCCCCTTCCCGCATAGGGGGAAAAAGAAATTGGAACAGAAGCAGCAGGAGCAGCAGATGGTCCCACTCCAGCCCTCCTGAGGACTGAGAAGGGGCAGAGAGTGGAGGAAGGAGCCCTGCCCGCCCTGGATATCCACACTAAGAGCGGGAATGGAGAAATGGTGGCCAGGAGGGCAGGAGGCACCTCTACTGGACCTGTGACTTCAGAGAAACACTTCCCCTGGGCCCCCCACACCTAGCCGGGCTCACTCATTGAACGTAACTTCTCCCACTGTTCCCCTCTGGCCCACACAGGCCACTCCACATCAGCTTATCCTCGGTTCAAAAAATCATGCAGTGATCACCTACATAGAAAACCCAGTGGAATCTTCAAATGCTACTACCACTAAAACATGAGTGTGGCAAGGTCGTGAGTTAAGAGATCAATATTTTCAAAGAATTGCATTTCTATACACTAGCAATAAGCAACTGGAAATCAAAAATTTAAAGACAATACCATTTACAGTAGCATCAAAAAAATTGAAATATATGGAGACGATAAAAAAGATCAGTGATCGCCAGAGGTTCAGAGGGAGCGAAGATGGATGAATAGTTGGAACACGGGATTTTTAGGGCAAACTATTCCGTATGATACTATGTCATTATGCACGTTGAAACCCTCAATAAACTATAAGGTAGGTATTCGTATTATCCTCAGGCTGGGGAAGATTACGAGACACAGTTAAGAAATAATGGAGCCTACACTTGAATCCAGGTAGTAGACTTGACAGCAGAATTCATGCATGTGTGTACACACACACACACACACACACACACACACACACTGTGCTCCTACCTTGCTCCCTACTTTTCTCAAACCTTATGCATCTTGCTCCTCCAACATCACTTCCAGAGACAGGCACACATTGCCCCAGCCCCAGAGGGGAGGCAAGAGGACCAGCATGACTTGCACGGGCTCCGCAGGGCTGAGGGCAAACATGCCACCACACACCCAATGCGCAGGTACCCGCCAGAATCTCATTGGTTGTGGTCTCTGTTTCTAGACCTGCCCTTCTTTCCTGCCCTGACCCAGCGGATATTTAGCCTTAGCCCTGCCCCCCACCCTTACCTGGCCCTGCCCTCGATTCTACCAGCCCCTCTTCAAAGACCATCGGAGCTGGGAGAGTCCTTGGGGACCATCTAGTCCGTCTTCATCTCTCTCCTCACTTCATTTACGGAAGAGTAGACTGAGGCTGGGAGTGAGGCTATGGCTCCTTCTCTCCCACAAGGTTCTAGACTGCGCCTCCAGCATGACTCAAACAGTCCAGTGCCCTGACATACTAGATAACTTCTGGAACCAGAGCATCCTCCCCAGGCCAGGCCTACACTCTCCCCATGGGAGCCGGTTCTCACTGACCATCCCTCTCTCTTTCTGCACCTTTTTTCCTATTTCAGAAATTCACGGGCTCTGGTCCACCCTGGTACTTTTCCCAGGATCACCTTGTCTCACCTAGCTCATCAACCCCCTGGCTTCTGGGCTCTGGTGTCCCCTGTTCCCTTCCCAGTGCCCAGCACAGTGCGGGTGTTGCTTAGGCTGGGGCTGCGTTATCAATCTGGAGGAAGCAGGACATACGACAGGCTGCACTGTGTGGTTTCTAAACAGTGACTACTGGTTGAAAACCCTGGGGGCCTATGCTTGGATCGTGGGGCAAGGGAGCAAAGGATCTCCACGAGGATGATTGAGCCGGGACTGGGCTTTCATCCCTGTCTTCCTGCATCCCAGGTGGTTTGCAGAGTCACCTCACTGGCTGTTGGGGGCGGAAAATCTAGAGCAGGCCTGGCGCGTGAGAGGTCCGCAGGCCTGGGAGGAAAACATAGAGATACATACTCATCCCAGAAGTAAAGCAGCTTGAGGCCCAAGCAGGGCTGCTTGCTTCCCACGGTCTGGAACCCAGACCCGGCCTGGCTTCCCACCTCCCTCTCTGCATTGGCGCCATTTTCTGTTGGGAGGTCGCCCCACAGGAAAGGGCTTCCCTCCCTCTAATATTGCTCCCAACTCTTCCCTTTCTGAGCCTCTGGTCCTCTGTGGAAAGCGGAGGAAGGGCAGGGAAGGTTGGCCCCATGCTCCCTATCCCCGCGGGCTGGGCACGGTCCCATCTCTGACTCCTCAGAAGGCTCCAGCTTCACACAAAGCCCTGATGCCCCCAGCGAGAGGCCTTGCAAGCCGCAGGCCCCGCCCC